GTACAGTTACCACCTGCCATCTTAAATCCACTGATCTGCTGCTAAGGACACTAGGCAGGGAGACGCGAGGAGGCTGAGGCCAGTACTGAGCACTGCAGTGCTTTTAGCAAGCTGCACCTCTGCTGCTTGCTCTAATCGGTTACAGATATTTGGCATCTGGGTTTTTTGTTTCTACTCTAGTCTATACAGATGGAATTATTTTTTTTTTTTAACGAATGAAATTTGATACTGCACTGGAGGAGGTGAGGATCTGATAATGTTGGTAACTGTTGAACCACTGTGTTGTACATTTGAAACCAACATAAGATTGTATATCAACAATACTTTAATTAAAAAAAGAATGAAACTTGATAGTGAGCCGTTGGTATTTAGTTCCTCTTTACTCAGAGACATTATTGCCAGTAATACATGTACTCACCAGCCTGTTTGTTCTGGCATATGACTCAAATCTTATTCTACATTTCTTGATTCCTCGGATCTTTCTTGATACTCCAGAGAAAGAGACCTCTTAAATAGACTCTCAGGCCAGTCTAGCTAAAACTGCTGCCAATATATTGAATTTATAAGAAATAATCACCCTGATTGACATGGTGTTTTGTTTGTTGTATTTCCCAATCAGAGAAGACCAGGTAAACTTCCGTGGATTCATGAGAACTTTGGCTCATTTCCGACCCATTGAGGATAATGAAAAGAGCAAAGATGTGAATGGACCAGAACCACTCAACAGCCGAAGCAACAAACTGCACTGTAAGGAGAGAAAGTCTTCCGGCTTAAATGTTTGCTTTTCATTTCTTATAGATCATTTATTTACTCATTCATTCATTGAACAAGCATTTATAAGAGCATAGTGATTGAGAGGTCAGGCCTGGCACTAAACTGGCTGGCTTGAATCTCAGCTCTGCTACTTTTTGGCCATGTGACTTGGGGCAATTTACTTAAAAATCTATGGGCCTCAGTTTCCTGTTCTGTAAATTGGGGTTTTAAGGGAATTCACATAGGGATGTTGTAAAGATTAAATAAGTTAATATATGTCAGGTACTTCAAACTGCCTGGCAATATGATTTAGCTGCTAATATTATCCCTATAATTTATTGAATTCCTACCATGTGCCAGGCACTGTGCTAAGCACTAGAATGACAACAGTGAAAAAGACACAGCCCTACCCGTAAAGGATAATGGCGATCCTCAGTCTATCTTAGAATTTCATAAATAGTGGATGTGACCTAAGTAGGGGTGGACAGCTGGGTTAGTACAAGATTTACTCTTTGTCCTCATGCCTCTTGCCTTCATTCTTTGGATATTTCTTAGATTTCCTTTTGCCCTTATTGGCTCATGTATGATATTGCCCAATATCTTGTAACATTTCTCTAAAAAACTGAAATTAAATTTCTCTTTACATTCAACACAAGTTGAAATTGAATTTGTATTGAATTGGCCCAAGCTTCTCTTACAAGGGTATACAGTGATATACAGAGAGATCTGTGAAGCCACAGAACACCTGGGGCCCATCAAGTTTTTACTGGATGATTTAAAGCAAAATAAAAGACTTTTTAATACTGAAACAAATGCAGATAAATTATAGAATATAATGCCTGAGTTACATCTGAAAGATGATACATGATACTTAAACTTTGAATTTGGTGCCCTTGGCCCATAGCCCTAAATCTTCCTGGCTATAGGAGTATAAGTGCATTCTTCTTTTTTTTAATATTTCAAATACAGAGTTTGAAAAGCACTGTAGTAAATATTGTTATATGGGGCAGGGAAGATTTTTGAGCCAAAGTAATAGGATACTGTTCTTTTTTTACCACAAGATCACATGCCTTAATAAAGAGCAGAAAACCTAAATACAAACCAAACTAAATATAGACGAAAATGGGACTAATGAATTGTTTTCAAATTTATTGGATACTTTATGTATATTAATGAATTCCAACTTCTTTCAAGACTAAATGCTGGTTGGAATAAAGCCTTGTGTCTTAATGTTTTTAAGAGTTTTAGCATGTATTTAGTACATGTTGTCTGCTTCTCACACTAATACAGTAGAAATTTCCTTATTCAGTGTCAGACCCAGGAGTTGATAAATACTTGAAAAGGTCAGCTGTAGCATAGAATCATAGAAACAATGTATGGTTTAACATTTTATTTTACCTTAAAATATTTAAAAACACATTCAGTGGCCAATCTTTTGATGTAGGATCAAGAGTTGTTTTGTTTTGTTTTGTTTTAGTAAAGGTCAGCTGATGAGCGTTGTGTGGCATTTTGTATATAGAACACATCTATAATGTATGTCTAAGGTCTCTGGCTGCAGTTTCTTTTAAGTGGAAAGAGAACTTAGAGATACTCATAGAGCATTCTGAGAATAAACTTTTTCTGGTGTTTACATTTTTCCCTCAGTCTCTTACAGCTGTCCTGCCACACTTTAGCAACAGGATTTTTTCAGTGATTTAATTTTGAGTCTTTCAGAAGTAGTCAGTCTAATTTTCAAAAAAAGAGTCTTTTTGTTTTCACATACACATTTCATTTTTTATTATATAATTTTATTAAAAATACAAGTAGTGCAGTTTTATGACAGTGAACACACCTGATTCTTGGTAAGTGTCCAACTCAGCTGGTGGATTAGATACTGAAGAGTGCTCCACTAGCTCCAGTAGCCACCATAGCAGGTGGAACAATTCACAGAGAAAAGAAAGAGCTTCCAGGAACTGAGTAAATTGGTCAAGGAGAAGGCAGTTAAGAGACAGTCTGTGCTCTGTGAAACTCTGCCTGCTTCTCTAGTCAGCAGGTCTAACACAAACCTGTGGCCTGAATTCCCTCTACAGCATGGGCTCTGCCTTGTTCAAATCATGAATTTCCTTGGGAGTCTGATGAACCCTACTTGACCTCATCTCAGTATGGTTTTGAATGAATAAAATAAAATGCACAGAATTATAAAGGAAACCAATTATAGTGAAATACATTCAACAAAATGTTAAAACAACTTTGTGGTACAGTAATAGGTGTGTATCCTTATTATACATTAAACAGGATGTAACATTGGAGCCCTGTGGCTATGGAATAGCTCTGTATCTAGAATGTTGTGGTGGTTACACAAAACTACATAGATGATAACATTGCACAGAACTACACACACGTGCATGCACACCCACAGTGAAATCTGAGTAAGCTCTGTGGATTGTACCACTGTCAGTTTCCTGGTTTTGATGGTATATTATAATTACACAGGGAGTTACCACCAGGGGATGCTGGGTGAAGAGTTTTCAGGATCTTCCTGTGTATTTTTTTGCAACTTCCTGTGAATCTCTTAATGACTCCAAAATAAGTTATAAAAAAACCAACATTACATTAGGGAAAAAAATAGAGAAACTCATTCATGTGCTTCTCTTTGCATTTCATGGCATTTGTTGGGGTAAAATAGATTGCAGGAAGACTGCTAATAAGATCTTCCTTGGTATTCTGTTGTGTACAATGGAGCAATGCGTCAGAATACCTAAAGATGTAAACTTATGTGACACCAGCATGAAGTTCCCAGTGGAATGCTGCAGGGCTCTTGGAGCTTTTTATTGTTTTCTCATCAATCACTTTCAAAATCAAAGTTTTCATAAGTAAATATAGCAACTTTGACTGTAAACTTGGAAGCTTAATGAATATAAGAGACCACAGGTCCAACATGTATGAAGAAAATCTAAAGATAAATTTTAAATGAAGCCAACATCCACTGTGACTACCTGGCCTACAGGACCCCTGCCTCCACCCCAGGTCATACAAACGGAAATGAATCATTTAGAATGGGAATAATGTTAATGACCACTCTATGCTAAGGAGAACCACATTTCTAGGGAACCATATCTCATTTTGGATCCCAGAGATATTCTAGAGCACACTTATAAGAAAGTAACTAGAATTTTGATAAGGAAGGGTTTTTTTAATTGTGTTAAACAGCACATAACAAGATTTATCATCTTAACCACTTTTTTTGCTGAAATATTGTTGATATACAATCATATTGGTTTCAGATATACAGCACATTGGTTCAATAGTTATTCATATTATTAAATGCTTCCACGCACTAGTGCAGTTACTATCTGTCGACATAGGAAGATGTTACAGAATCATTGGCTGTGTTCTCCGTGCTGTACTACTGTCCCTGTGACCAACTTATATTATGATTGAGAATTACTGTGCCCCTTTATCCCCCTCACCCTCTCTCCACCTTCCTAACCCATGGTAACCCCCAGTCACTTCTCAGTGCCTATGAGTCTACTGTGTTTTGTTCATTCTGTTTTGCTTTGTTTTTATATTCCACAAATAAGTGAAATCAGTGGGTATTGTTTTTCTCTGTCTGACGTATTTCACTGAGCATAATACCCTCTACCTCCATCCATGTTGTTGCAAATGGTAGGATTGGTTTTTTTCTTATCGCTGAGTAATAATATTCCATTGTGTATATGTACTACATCTTCTTTATCCATTCATCTATTGATGGACACTTAGGTTGCTTCCATTTCTTGGCTATTGTAAATAGTGCTGTGATAAACATAGGGCTATATATGTCTTTTTGAAACTGGGCTGCTGCATTCTTAGAGTAAATTCCTAGGAGTAGAATTCCTGGGTCAAATGGTATTTCTATTTTTAGTTTTTTGAGGAACCTCCATACTGCTTTCCACAAAGGTTGAACTAATTTACATTTCCACCAGCAGTGTAGAAGGGTTCCCCTTTCTCTACATCCTCACCAATATCACAAAGTTGTTTTAATATTTAATACCCAAAGCAATCTACACATTCAATTCAATCCCTATCAAAATCCCAATGATATTTTTGTAAAAATAGAAAAGCCCATTCTAAAATCCATATGGAATCTCAAGAGACCCCAATAGCCAAATCGATCTTCAAAAAGAAGAACATAACTGGAGGATTCACACTACCTGATTTCAAAACTTACTACAAAGCTACAGTGTTGAAATCTGTGTGGTACTGGCACAAATACAGACCTGTAGACCAATGGAATAGAATAGAGAACCCAGAAATAAACTCTCATATACATGATCAGTTGGTTCTTGACAAGGGTGCCAAGACTATTCAGTAAGAAAAGGACTGTCTTAAACATTGGTGCTGGGAAAGCTGGATATTCACATGCAAAAGAAAGAGGTTGGACCATTACCTAATACTGTATTAAAAATATTAGCTAAAAATGTGTCAATGACCTAAATGTAAGGCCTAAGGCAATAAAACTCTTAGAGGAAAACAGGACAAAAACTTTTTGACATTGGATTTGGCAGTGATTTCTTGGATATGACATCAAAGGCAGATAACAGAAGAAGAAAATAGAGAAATTTGATTTTATGAAAATTAAATTTTTTTTTTGCATCCAAAGATATTATCTGCAGTGTGGGCAACCCACAGAATGGGGCAAAATATTGGCAGATCATATATCTGATAAGGGATTAATATCCGGGATAATAGAGAATCCCTAAAACTCAACCAAAAAACAACCCAACTCAAAAATGGACAAGGGACTTGAATAGACATTTCCCCAAAGAAGATCTATGAATGGGTAATAAGCACATGAAAAGAAACTCAACATCACTAATCATTAGGGAAATGGAACTCAAAACTACAATGAGATACTACCTCACACCCATTAGAATTGCTAATCTCAAAAAAATAGAAAATAACAAGTACTGACAAGGATGTGGTGAAAATGGAACACTTGTTCACTGTTGGTAGGAATGTAAAATGGTACAGCTGCTGTGAATGGCAGTTCCTCAAAAAATGAAAAATAGAATTATTATATGATCCAGAAAATCCATTTCTAGGTATGAAACCAAAAGAATTGCAAGCAGGTTCTCAAGGAGATATGTGCACATTCATAGTAGCATTAATCATAATAGCTAAAACAAAAAAGCAACTTAAGTGTCCATCAATGAATGAATGGATAACCAAAATGTGGTATATACATACAGTGGAATATTCAGCCTTCAAAAGGAAGGGAATTCTGCAATATGCTGCAACATGGATGACCTTGAGGACACTATGCTAGTCACAAAAATACTGTATGAGTCCACTTATATGACGTACTTAGAGTAGTCAATCATAAAGACAAAGTATAATGGTGGTTCAAGGGTTTGGGGGAGAGAATAAGGAGGAGTTATTGTTTAATAGGTATAGAGTTTCATGTTGAAGGAATGAATGATTAAAAGAGACCTACAGTGTTAGAAGCCGCCCATCCTCAGCTAGTATGGACCAGGCCCTATATAAAGACATCTCTCTTTATATCAGGCCCAGGTTCAGGTATACTGAAATGCAAATGAAAGGCTAATTCTGAGTGATCATTTTATAACAAGAGTTATGGGGATGAATGGGGTGATGACTGCAAAACAGCATGAATGTGTTCAATACCACTGAACTGTACACTTAAAAATGGCTAAGATGGTATGTTTTATGTGTATTTTACCACAATAAAAAAGAAACATGTAATAGGCAAAGAAAATTGAACCCCTTGTGGGGTTTTTTTTTTATTTCTACATTATAGACTTTTCATTCAACAAGTAGTGAATGGTAAGAAAAGAAAAAAATTATACTTCTTTAGCTTTGCATTACCATGGCTTGATCCAGATATTTTATACAACACATCTAGTGGGTCCTTTCCTTGTAGTTCATTTCCTTTGTAAATTACTGTGGTCTTAGTGCATTAATTCACACTGACCCTCAAGAAAATATTCCAAATAGCGTTAGTGGATTTGATAGTAACTTGGTGTTTCAGTTAGGATGCCATGTATCAGGTGAGGCAAGCATCAGAGTTGATTATTTGTCAAGGATGAAGTTTGTTCTTTTGCTTTGGTCCACCATCCTTAAAGTCAGCTTCATTCAAAGGCATGGCTCCTCATGGTCACGTGATGGTTCTCAGTGGCAGTTGGGCTATATGCCTCCCTGTCACATCTGACAGTGGGGAGACAGAGACAAACAGACAGAATATCCCCCCTGAAGCTGTGAATGAGATTCTGTTAGAAAGGAAGAGGTCTGAGTGCCATGGAATTAGCAATTTTTAGGATAAAGTAGATTAACAGCAAAGAGCTGTGCATAATTTTACCATTACTTTAGTCTTCGTTTCAGATCAACTTTTTTTTTTTTTTTTTCAGCTGAGCCAGGCAAAGGGTCTGGACTGCCCGTTGCATTTAGATTGCGGTGGCCAGCAGGAGAGCAGGGCCCAGCATGCCTTGTTCTCTTCCAGGGACCTCTTCTCACCAGCCCTTGCCAGGCGGGGAGTGAATTTCAGTGATTTACGGCGTCCCCAGGGGGCTCTTCTTTCCTAAGTGTCGAGAAGAACTAACTAACCTGCAGTAAATAGGGAAATGCTCACATATCCTTTCCGTGTGCGGAAACTGCTAATGCTGCTCAAAGGTTCTGATTCTGACGGCTCCCACCCTCTCGGGCGCATCCCAGACCTTCGGTTTGTCCAGCCTCTGAGTCACGAGCTGGTGTAGCCCGCTGCCCCTGCAAGAGCAGACGCCGTGTTGGAGCCTGCTGGGAGCCATCCGTCCCCCACAGAGACTGCAAGTAGGCTGGTCTCCCCCCCACCAAACCCATGTTATGGGCTGAATTTTGTTCCCCCAAAATTCATATGTTGACATCCTAACCCTTAGCACCTCAGAACATGGCTTTATTTTGAGACAGGGTCTTTAAAGAGGCCACTATGGTAAAATAAGGTCAACAGGGTGGCCCTTAACCCTATATGACCAGTGTCCTTATGAAAAGAGATCAGATCAACTTTTAAAGCTGAAAATGAATTAGAATTCTGTTGAATATAGACATATGTTGGGATCACATTCATGTAATTTAACCAGTGAAATCAAGAACTACAGGAGGAGTCCTCTATGTCTGCTTCTCTATCTATATACAGTTGACTCTTGAATAACTTGGGGAGTTACGGGCACTGACCCCCACCCCCACCCGATGGAGTGGAAGGCCCACATATAACTTTTGACTTCCCAAACATCACTACAAATAGCCTGTTGGCCAGAGGCCTTAACTGATAACATAAGCAGTTGATTAACACTTATTTTGTATGTTATATGTATTACATACTGTGTTCTTACAATAAAGCAAGCTAGAGAAATGAAAATGTTTTTTCAAATTGTTGCAAATTTCCAAAAAATTTTCCAGTATATTTATTGGAAAAAAAACTGCATTTAAGTGGACCCACACAGTTCAAACCCATGTCAGTCAAGGGTTAACTGTGTTGGTTTTCTCTGAATTTTCCACAGAGCTGGAAGCAGCAAGATGGCTAAGAGCAATTGAACATCCTATACCTAGCAACATATTTGCTGCTCTTTACCTTTCATAGGGGATATGTTACTTTAAAATGTGGGCTTCTGGAACCAAATTTGTTTCTGGTCCATCTTCTGCATAGAACAGTCTCTTCAGAAACTCCAAGAGCATTCTTCATCTATTTCTTTTTTTTTTTTTAATTAAATACCAATATTTATTATGCATCAAAATAAAAAACATCAAGATTTAAGGAGAACGGGAAAGGTAATGCAATTCTTTTTTTTTTTTTTTAATCCAACTTGATCCGGTTTCGTGAGGTCTGCTCTGTTCTCCAGGTGTATGCAGTCTGGCTCAGCCCTCCCTCCTGTTGCTCTTCCAGGACTAGTTGCATCAACTACATTTTCATAATATATGTAGTTCTCGGAGGAGTTCTCTGTCTTAGCTCTCATGCTGCCATCTTGAATCTGTCTTATTTCTTTTTAATGCTGCAGTGAAAGAATGTCAAGGCCAACCAGCATGGCTAAACTGTACCTATGTAGGCACAGACCAAAACACACAGTACTAATGCTCTGTCTCCCAGGAGTAGTTCCTTAGTGCTCTCCTCTTCAGACCAGTGACACACAATGTGTTGTATGAAAGGCGCAGCCCATCTTAGAGTGCCCCAGGGCACAGTAAGCAAGGGGAGGGCCACAAGCTTCCCTTCCCATATTCTAATTGTCCTCTTAAATGGTTTAAGTTTTTATAACACATAATGAATGATGTGGGAAGTAAGGAGTCTGCATGAAGAGGTTTTATTTGGATGATGAGGAATACTGGTGAAGTGGAATTTGGGACGGCAGCCAAGAAGCAACAGTCAACAGTATTATTCACAATAGCCAAAGGTGGAAGCAACCCAATTGTTCATCAGCAGGTGAATGGATATACAATACATGATATATATACTTACCATGGAATATTATTTGGCCATAAAAAGGAAATTCTGGCACATGTTATGACATGGATGAATCTACTCATGTTAAATAAAATAAGATAGGCCAAAGGATAAATATTGTTTGATTCTTCTTATGTGAGGTTCCTAGAATAGTCAAATTCATAAAGAGAAAGTTCCCATGGGAAATGAAGAGTTACTGTTTAATGGGTCAGTTTACGTTGGGAAAGATGAAAAAGTTCTGGAGATGGATGGTGGTGATGGTTATACAGCAATGTGAAAGTAGTTCACTGTATACTTAAAAAGGGTTGAAAGGGAAAATTTATGTTACTGTATTTTACCACGGTTTTGTTTTAAAATAAGAAACTGATTAAAAGGTAAAGGTTTGAGTGAGATTCATTTTGGTCTTTCATTAAGCAAGTGTTTGAGCCATTACTGTATGCCAGGCACTATTTTAGGCACAATATACAATGACTCATAGATCAGATAAGGTCTTTGCTTTCAAAGAACTTATGATCTAATAAGACACAGACTATATGTAAAAAGACAAATGAATAGACAAGATTTATGATCTTGGCAATTTCTATAAAGGAAATGACTAAGGGAAGATGAGAAGGCAATAGGGGATGTTGCTAGTTCAGAAAGAGTGGTCAGTGAACACCTGTCTGAGAAGCTGACATCTGAGCTAAGAATGAGCCAACCATGCAAAGAACAGGAAGAGAGCTCTAGGCAGAAGGAACAAGTGATGTAAAGGCCCGAGGGAAGCAATGGATTCTTGTGTTCTGAGAACGAAGAAGCATTATCAATTGAGAGGTGAGTGGTATGAGAGGAGGGCAGAGAGGTTGATGGCAGGCAAGTGACAATAGAGCTCTTACCATGTGCCAGGCACTGCTTAAAATACCAACTCATTCAGTCCTTGTACCACGTGAATTCTGTTGATCTCATTGTGCATCGCATTGTGCACCTCTCAGGCACCTGAGGTTCAGAGGGTTGCGTAACTTACATGTGCCAGGCACTGCTTAAAATACCAACTCATTCAGTCCTTGTACCACGTGAATTCTGTTGATCTCATTGTGCATCGCATTGTGCACCTCTCAGGCACCTGAGGTTCAGAGGGTTGCGTAACTTGCTCACATTCACATAGCTAGTGAGTGTCAGAGTCAGGTTTCGGCAGGCCCAGAGTCAACCAGGGTACTGTATTGCTCAAACATTCAGTCCATGGCAGCTGGATTTCAAGAATTAGCATTTCAGGCTTCTGTAAATACTTTAGCAGAAAGGGATATGTTTTTTCCAGGTACCCAAGTAAGATATTCACAGGCAAATGTTTATAAGTTATTTAGCAAACAGATTTCCATCCTGAAGCTACCGTAAGGATTGCTTAGTAGATAATACATTTTATGGTATTTTAGAAAGATGACAGCACATATAGAAGTGTGTGTGTATGTTTGGGAAATACATTAAACACATATTCCTTTAGGAACACTTATGATCCTGGTCTCTTTTCCCTTGGAATCCAAACCTCCTAAGCATATAAATTTTCAAATTTGGTAAAGATAGTTCAGTAACCAAATTAAAGAGAAGAGACAAATATCAGACAAAGTTTTGCCCAGTTACTTTCCCCTCCAGGATTCTAATATGTACCTTATAATGAGTAAGTTATATTTTTCTTAAGTTTTTACTTTGACTTTTAGCAGACTCACTCCTATTCAGAGAAAGAGGAAAGGGCGATGTTCAAACTTCCAGGTATTCATCCTTGTTCTCATGCCTTTGTACCTAGTATTAGCTCTACCTGAAATGCCACCCCTCATCAGATTTGTTTGTCTTTTAAGACCTTATACAACCAGAAAGGCATATCTGCCATACGCTCTGTTCCTCAGCATTTCACATATCTGATAGCAATTAGAATGTATTAAGGTGAACGAAGTGTTTCACTCTTCTCTGACAGTGAGTTCCTAAGGACAATATCTAAATCTTTATATCTAAATAACTCTAGAGCAGTGGATTTAAGCCTTTTAGTATTCACAGAACCTTACCGAAAACCTAAAATCGTAGGTTGAAGTGATTTGAAGCCTCAGAACCACACTATAAAGTCAGCTGTCATTACAAGGCGGTCCCTTCCTCAGTGTGCTGATAGCTCCCAGTGCCTGTGAGACCGTCCAGTATTACCACACTGTTCACTTGATAGCCCTGCAGCAATGTGGTACTGTCCAAATAGTTTTTGCTCTTCTGAATTCTCTCTTACATACCATAGTTTCTAGAAGATTTATCTCTCATTAAAAACGTGGTAAGACCAGGAGACTATCAAATTCTTTACATTTTTATTTGGAACCAAGGGTCTTTACCTTCAGGACTTCCAGGTACTAAAAACTATTTGAAGTTTGGCACAAATTTGCCAGAATGCCCATTTTCCCAAAGCAGTACTTTGTGTGGTCAGGTGTTCGGTGCCTGTGTGGCTCCTGTTGCTGGCTTCTGCTGAGTGGCATACATATGGTAGACTTGACAGGTTGTGTGAGATGACCTAACTTACAGAACCACTTGCGGGTTGTTTCTGTTTGCTTTTAAAAACATTCTAAGATAAAAAGGACGTTTAGCTTTTTCTTTTTATTGTTTGCTTATTTGTCTGAAGAAGGACCATATTTCACCAAAGCTGAGATGCCATCAATTATGAGATGCATCTCAATTTCTTAAATGTAACAATGTCTTTATAAGTTCCACAAGTAATGGCAACTGCTCTTCGAAAAATATTAATTCATTGTCAGTTTTCTCTCTGGTGTCCTTTACACATTTTGTTCCCTGAGGAGGGGCGGAACAGTACTGTATTTCCACTCACTTCTTGTTTTTCCCCACCAGTTGCTTTTCGACTGTATGATTTGGATAAAGATGACAAGATCTCCCGTGATGAGCTCCTACAGGTATGTGGGAGAGCTCCCGTGCATGTGGATGACTGTTTGGGCCCTGCCTGCTTATTCTTGAGGGCAGAAAATGTTCCTTTCTTCACTAAGCATTTATTTCATGTGTGTATGTGTGTAGAGGCCTGGCCTAGATAAAAGGCAGAGCAGGCAACATGAGGAAACTTGAAATACCTCATTGGTTTCTCACAAACAGATGTCTCCATTTTTTTAATTAAGATATCATTGATACACAACCTTATGAAGGTTTCACATGAGCAACCTTGTGGTTACAGCACTCACCCATATTATCAAGTCCCCCCCATACCCCATTGCAATCACTGTCCATCAGCGTAGTAAGACACTATTGAGTCATTACTTGTCTTCTATGTGCTATACTGCCTTCCCCCTTGACCTAGATTATGTGTGCCAATCATGATCCCCCTCAATCCCCTTCTCCCTCCCTCCCCACCCATACCTCCCTACCCACTTCCCTTTGGAAACTGCTAGTCCCTTCTTGGAGCCTGTTAATCTGCTGCTGTTTTGTTTCTTCAGTTTTGCTTTGTTGTTACACTCCACAAATGAGGGAAATCATTTGGTACTTGTCTTTCTCTGCCTGGCTTATTTCACTGCAAATGTCTCCACTTTTTAAAAGCCAACTAAAGGTCTTTTAGGTGCTAACTGGTAGAGCTAAAATATCGTTTAGATAGTTTAGATCAAATAGTTCAGTTAGTGTCAAATCAGCATATTGGCAACCAGGTAATTTTGATAACGCTTTGGTGAATGGTATCATTTTGTTTGTTGTTGGATTTGCCATAAGAGTCAAGGAAATGTAGGGCCAGTATTCCCTGAGCTGACTACTAACTGTCCTTTGTTGCTCCCTGGGGATAATTCCCTGTCCTAGCAGCATCTGGCATTTCATCCTGTTAGTATTGCCCTTCTCACACACCCCACCCCCAAATACAAGTTTATGAGGGGAGGAAATTCCCCTTTTTTCTTTCTTTTCTTAATATTTATGAATCTGGAGGACCCTAGGATGCCAACACATTCAGGAATTCCTAAGGGAAGATTTATCTATTTCAAGATAGATTCAAAAAAGTAAAGTGGTTCCACTCACCCTGACATTAATGTGAACTCATCCACTGAATTGATATGTGTTCTAAATGGAAGGTTACTCAGGCCACATGAAAGACCAACCCAAAGTATTCCTATATTTTGTATCTGAGCAAAACCAAAACAGTCTGCGGTAGAGTGTTAGCATCCTTTGCTTTTGAATTGGGGATGTCTTTCTTCAGTGAGGAGAATTTACCTTAATTAAAATTGCTGCCTATGGGCTGCTGAGTTCTGAAGAGAAAAAGCAGAGGCAGTCATTCTGTAGTTGCATGTTTTCATTCTCTGGCTCAGATCTGGCTACCAGAAAGCTTTTCTTTTTTTGGAGTGGAGGGTTGATTTTTTTTCTGTTATTAGGATAAAGAAAGCCCGAGCGGAGAGTGGGGAGGAGAGAGCACCAGAGTGCAGTCACTGCTGCTAGAGTAGGCCTCAGGCTGTTCTTAACTCTTCCTTGGATCTTGAAAAGGTTGTGGTCAGTTTATCCTAAGGAAAAAGGCTGTGTGGTCATGTTTTCCTAGTGAGATTTTTGTAAAAAGTCCTGGTTGAACTTCTGGTGGTGATGAGTGTGTTCATTATCTTACTGTGGTGATGGCTTCCAGGTGTGTACTTATGTCAGAACTTACCTGACAGTACACTTTAAATATGTACAGTGTAAATATGTACAGTTTATGGTAATCAATTATATTTCAGTAAAGATAGTTGCCATACTCATTTTATGAAGCTAGCCTAACTTTGACATGAAAACCTTGTGAAGACTCCACAAGAAAAGCATCATTCACATAGATGTAAAAATCCTAAACAAAATACTAACACATTGAATACAGCAATATAAAAAGGACACTGTGTTGTAGCGTGGTGGGTTTACACCAGGAATTCTGTTGGGTTTAAAATTAGAAAATCAATCAATATATTTTGCCATATTAACAGGTTAAAGAAAAATTGAATGGTCTTTTCCATAGGAAAAAAGCATTGGTTTAAACTTACGCATTTATGATTTTTTTAAAGTCTAGAAAAACAGAGAGAAGTTTTCTTAAACTGATAAAAGTATATACAAAAGATCACCAGACATTAAAAAGCAGTAATAGGATTATTGTCTAACCCCATACACAAAAGTAAATTTGAAATGGATCAAAGACCCGAATGTAAGTCATGAAACCATAAAACTCTTTGAAGAAAACATGGACAAAAATCTCTTGAATATAAACATGAGCAACTTTTTCCTGAACGCATCTCCTCAGGCAAAGGAAACAAAATAAAAAATGAACAAATGGGACTACATCAAGCTAAAAAGCTGTTGTACAGCAAAGGACACCATCAGCAGAACAAAAAGGCATCCTACAGTATGGGAGAATATATTTGTAAATGACATATCCAACAAGGGGTTAACATCC